CCTCCCGCTTTTTTAAAGCCCACCCGCCTGCATGCGCTGCCGCCCGCCTAGAGACCCATGGTCTTTCCCTTTTAACGTTACCATGTCAGCTGGTACTTAGGGGGCCGCCGACTTAAGAGTCAAGTTATAAGTTTCAAAGCAAAGGTTTTAAGTTGCATAACGTATGTCTTCAGGTGGAGAATTTCTTGGCTGTTTATAGCGGACATAGGACCAGACTTGGGAGACTTTATATGAAGTTGTATAATAAGTAGGTTTAGTACATTGAGACAATCAGCCTGTTTGGACATAGCGGACTTAGCACGACTTAGCGGACCCACAGATTTTTAAACCCTTTTGATAGAACTTTGTACCAAACACATGGAAAAAGGAAGAATACAGGAAGCAGGACCTGCCACTTACTGGCCGACTGTCAGTTTGCGTTGGACGCTTGCTCCTGCGTACCGCGTGGAGAGCGCGCTTGGCCTACTGGGGCCTCTGTAGGACAGCCTATAGAGAAGAGCAGCGGAGTCAAGCACAGCCCGTGAGGAGAGAAAAGTAATGAACAGTGAGTGTCTCGTAAATGTCTCGTGGGTCGGACAGGGGTATAGTCTCCGCGATGTCTCGTGGTGCCTCGCAATATAGCAGTAAAGGTGGGACGTCCCTAAACATAGCACGGTGAGATGTCTCACGATGTCTCGTAAGTGTCTCGTGGACTCACGCACAACGTCGAGATTCGGTGGTATTCATTTTTGAGGGCATGCAGCCGGGCTCAAGAGAACAAGTGCGTCTATAGACATATAGCCAGGTGTCCCATTTCAGTAAACTGCGTGGCGGAGAGACGTGATGGACGAGTATATATAGATTGCATATTTGATTGTATGTTGACCGCTCTGATACACTTTGCACCATCGAAAACAAGAAAAAACATAAGTGACAATTTTTAATAAAACAAGGCGGTGGGAATCATGATGCGTTACACGGCTTACCGGCGCGACATGGACTTAGGTCTAAGCGGACTTATAAGTCACTTATAGATAAGTTTCATAAGTCAAGTTACAAGTCGGCGGCCCCCTAAGTAGCGCCCTCCGTGTCGTCACAGAATCCAAGTCGGCTGGCTTCGCTCGCGTCATCTTTGGCCTGAAGGTTCATCGTGTTGTCTTCAAAACATGCGCCGCCTTCAAGCAAAGTCTCCGTCTCTAGTTGGAAAGAGCCAAAGCTGCAAGTCTATACCGAGATCTTCGTATGAAGCACTTTTCCAAAAAGGTTGCCTTTTACTGTATGGCGGCGTAAATTGTACGGCTGCGGCGTGATTTTGCGGCGGCGTTTTTCGTGGTTGGCTCGAAGTTGTATAGTTGGGTGATTTGCGCCCTTCGTTGGGTATAGTTGTGTCAAACCCCGAAAGTTGATGAACGCACCCCAATATGTGAACTTCTTGTCAACATACCTACCGGTAACCTTTGGGAAGATGCGGAATTGGTGCAGTGCGTGACATTTGCGAAGTTTGCCGGAAAAACTGGTGGTCCGCGTAATGGTGGCGTAAATTCCCGTAATCATTTTGGCAACGTTCGTCAACCATGGACCACTGAGATTGCTTGGCTTATCAGGGTGTAGCATACACATGAGCACAAAAACTCTTGTTAGGGGGTGGTCAATTGTCAGAGCTTGCACAATGACCTTGGAGAATGACCCTGGGTACCAGAAGTTGAGTATAGTTGAATAAATTTGGCAATGGGAATCGTAGAGCGGTCAGGGATTTGGGATTGCGATGACGTTATTGTGGAGGTGTTTGGTTTCTACCTGGTGTTACTTGGGCAATCTAACTGAGTATCCTTGAGCCTGGCGTGGAGGAGACATGCACCATCCTTCCCCATGTATGGAATACGGCGTTTTGTTTTTCTGGCGGCGTCTTTTTTGGATGACGGCAATTGTCCACTCTGGTGGCAAAAATTTTGGCCACAATGGAAAGCGGCACGTTTTTCGTCAACCAGGTGGATAAACAACCAACAAGAACATGAACCGCGCAAGCAACAAACCAACCGCCCGCGCCTGCCACGAAATCAGATTTGAAGGTGAACCCTCTGCGGCAAAACCTTTTAACCAACCAACCAACAACAACGACAACAACCGCAACCGCCAGACCAAACAACCAACAAGAACATGAACCAAGCAAGCAACAAACAAACCAACATGCTGAGATAGTCCGCACTGCGCAATCTCTTTGTTTTTTCTTTGCAGCGAACACTTGTTTTTCTAACCAACCAACCAACCAACCAACCAAGCAAGCAAGCAAGCAAGCAAGCAACCAACGACCAAACCGGGAACAGAAAACACCCAACCCAAATCCACCTACAAGGCAAGGAAAAACTGTGCGTGCGGGAAGGGAAAACGCCCACCGGGAACGGAGAGAAACCGAGAACAGAAAACACCGACCAAACCGGGAACAGGAAACACCCACCCAAAGCGGGAACAGAAAACACCCAACCCAAATCCGTGTGGGAAGGGAAAACACCGACCAAACCGAGAACAGAAAACACCCAACCCAAATCCACCTATAAGGGAAGGGAAAAACTGTGCGTCCGGGAGGGGAAAACACCATGGGAAGGGAAAGCACCAAACCGGGAACAGAAAACAACGGAGAGAAACTGAGAAAAGAAAACACCGACCAAGCCGGGAACAGGAAACACCCAACCAAAGCGGGAACAGAAAACACCCAACCCAAATCCGTGTGGGAAGGGAAAACACCGACCGAACTGGGAACAGAAAACGCCAAACCCAAATCCACCTATAAGGGAAGGGAAAAACTGTGCGCGCGGGAAGGGAAAACACCATGGGAAGGGAAAGCACCAAACCGGGAACACGAAACACCCAACCCGTAATGAAGTTGATATTGCAGCCACTGGAGCGCGTAACATGCAGTGATTGGCTAACATCGGGCAAAGCATACGTTTAGGCGATGAAGTTGACATCGGAGCCACGCTGATAGGAGGTAGAAACAGAAAATATAATACACAAGTTTGGGGGGATTGACATTTTTCGTCGTGGTTTAGGTTCGCTTTGGAGGTGAAAAAGGGCACCCCGAAGGAAGTGAGGGGTGGTAGCTTCCTGTGCGGTGCCACTCAGTGAGCAAAGATGGTTATGGAGTTATGGGGGGTTGAGGGGCGAGGTTATCGGCAGGCCTTCGGGAGGAAATATATATATATATATGTATATAGGTAGAGTTGAGAAAGAATAGCTGGCAGTGGTGAAGTTGCTATTGCAGCCCCTTGAGCGTGCAGGATGCAGTGATTGGTGAACATTGGGCAAAGCGTATTTTCATGTAGCGAAGTTGATATTGCAGCCACTTGCATAGGAGTAGAAAGAGGAAGTAGAATAGACACAGGTTTGGGGGGGGGGGTGCCCTTTTTCGTGTTGGTGGAGGGCCGTTTCGGAGGTTAAAAAAGGGCACCCCGAAGGAAGTGAGAAGCGGTTGCCTGCTGCGTGGCGCCAATCAGTGAGCTAAGATGGTTATGCGGGGAGCCCGTGGGCGAGGCTAGCGGCAGGCTTCCGGCAACCCTAGCAATTCAACGCTTGCCCACTGCAGTCTGTTCTCTCGCATGCCCCCAACAGATGGCATCATGCACCCCATATGGGGTGCCCTTTTGAGTCTGACAACTAGACCTTTCCACAGATAAAAAGGGCACCCCTTAGCACCTTCCACCGCCAATGGGGTGCCCTGTCCAGTCCGGCAACTCAACCTTTCCAAGGGCATCCCCGAGCAACTCAAGACCTTCCGCCTCCAACGCTTGCATATTGCCATCTCTTCTCTCCATTCCTGCCATCAACAAATGCATCATGCACCCCATGTGGAGTGCCGCTTTGAGTCCGGCAAACCGCGCAATTCAACGCTTACCCGCTGCAATCTGTTCTCTGTCCTGCCCTCAACAACCCCCCGAGCAACTCAAAAACCTTCTGGCACCGCTGTGCCTGCCGCATCCACCGCATGCCCCCTTCAGTCTGGCAACTTAAAAAGGGCGCCCCCAAGCAACGCTAAGCTTGCTCGCAACTGCTCTTTCCTGCTCTCAAGAGTGGGGTGAGTTCCAACCACTTATCACGTCCCCTTGTCTTCCCTTTCCTCGTCGACGTGAACTCCCACCCCCAGTAAAGACAATTTACATGGCCTCCTGGGCCCTTCGTGATGCTAATGATGCACAGCTCGCCGTCACATCACAACACCTCAAAAAACTACTTATTTTCTATTTTCACTACCTCCGGGCGACCTCTTTTTTTTCGCTCTCCCCCACCAGGCTCAGGGTCAGCCTCTCCAAACGTGCCCATCTGGCAACCACCCCCCCCCACACCCCGTTTACTCACTTCGTTCGCACAAGAACCTCAAGCCTTGCCTATCGGCTGGCCTTCGTGATATATATCTGTGTGTGTGTCATGAGACTGAGAAATCCAAGGATGATATCAAACGCTGCATCACTCTGGCATGCACAGCCATACCCGGACAAGGCGGTGGAGAAAGGGAAAGCGGCGTGGCTAAGCAGGGGATAAGGCTAGGACACGGCGGTGATAAAAGGGCCGACTACGCGGACAAGCAGGACAGACAGACCCGGACAAGCATAGGACATCATAGGGCAAGGTGGACAAGGCGCGACCAACAGACCTGGACAAGGACAACGCAGGGTCTACGACGTGGCCAAGCCCGACGCACAGACCCCGACAAGGCCCGGACGAGGCCACTAAACTGCTTGGGGAACAAGAGGAGGACACAGGGCTCGCCAGCGTGGCCGGAGCACAAGAAGAGGACAACAGGAGGACAACATCCACACACAGGGTTCAAGGGCCGGGCCAGGCCAAAGACTGTGGCCAGTGTCGTGTTTCGTGGGAGAGACACATTAACTGTTTGGGGAAATGTTAACTTGCGCACACGTGCTACAATATGTGTATGTTTATATGATATATATATATATATATGTGTGTGTATATACATATATATATATATAACGCTCTCGTCACTGAACTGGCTGCCCTGAGCCCAAGGTCAGCATAGATCGCTCAAAAGCGGAAATGTTGGTCTCGGGCCTCGACAGGAGAAGCTCATTCTGACCGTATCTAAGATGTAGAAGCAGTAGGTGTGTTGAAGATACAACTCTGATCTCTCCGGCCAGTCCCATCCAGCGCGCTCTTGTTCAGCTTCAAGTGTCTTCTCAAGTATCCGCTGGAGGCCTCTGAAGCACATGGAGCAAAAAAACAAACACGAGCCTTCACAAGCCCTGTCCAGGAGAGTTTTTCAAATGTCAACCATACAGACCATACATATGTCAACCGCATCATCGAGAGATCGCCATTGGCCTAGGCCCTACAGGACTTCTGCAGCACCAATTCCAATCCCAAACCAGTAGTTTTGCACCCGAATCCGTTCTATGTCGCAGTTCTCCCTGGATTTGCTTGCCACGTCCTTCCATCCTTCCATGCCCACTCAGGATCCACAAAGGAATGCCGACCAGTGGCGTTTCGCAGCCACCACCTCTTCGGGCACCTCCACGAAAACACCCGAGGCCTGCGCCCGGGCAACAATCTGCTTCATCTTCTCCTGCCGAAACAAAAGGAGCGGCGCTCCGCTGGCAGCCCTGACAAAAGCAAACGACCCAAGGAAGCGAAGGGTGAGGGAAGGGTGAGGGAAAATATATAAGGAACATGGGAAGAACCGACCCAGAAAATCACCGAGCGACGCACTGACTCGCTTGGGCTGATTTGTTCGCCACACAGTAGAGGCGTCAGAGGCGTCAGTTGGGTTTTCTCAAAAGGGCAGGTGGCCACCGTGTGTCGAAAGGACAACTGCTCGGGATCAATCCCTGAGACGACGTGAGAGGTATAGGATGATATAGGCCAGGCCATAGGTTACCAGCTTTGTGGGCCACGCATGGAGTGTGAGAATCCTTGTCACTACTTTACCCCTACCCTCTTGATGTTGATGATCTTTTGGTTTACACATGGAACATGGGAGGTTATGGAGATGCTGATCAAGTCTCCTCACAAAATCAAGCTCCCGCCGAAAGTTCCAAAGCGAGGAACGAGTCATGACCAATGCGTTTGAACGTTTGCATTTGGCTGCAATTGTTGGAGTTAAAGAAATTGCGCACAAGAATTGTGCAACATGTTGTGAAGTACCAGCCTGCACTAATGCCGCATTAGTCACCAATGCAATGACACGTGTTCGGTCCTGAAAAGGCTTGTTGCACAGATTTGAGTATGTCACATAGCCTCTGGCATAGAGCTCTTTCATCTGCGCATGCTGCACCTGCCGAAGTTGGCTGTACTCTGCAATCGAAGACCTCAGCACTACATGAAGGATCTCTCAGCAAACAAAGGACTGAACAAAAATTCCAAAAGTGGTCTCTCAACGAAAGGCGCAAAGTGCCCAAATGACTTTGGCCTCGGCCTGTTGGCATCTCTTGCTTTGCGCTTTCTGCCGCCAGGCCACACTACACAGGCCTCTTCACGTTTCATCTTTAAGGTGGGATCTTTGGGGACTCCCAGGCGTAGCAGTTGCAGGAAGCAACTCGCGCCATCCGTGATTTCAAGGGACCATAGAGGGTCATAGCGTAAGACCTGCCGCTCCTGCACACGCTTCCAGAAGGACTCCACCTGCCATTTATCGGGGATCGTCACCTGAGGTCAGGCGTCACGGTGGCACTGGCCGTCCTGAGGTAAGGCTCCTCCCTCATCATATCTTCTCCAGCTTGCAAAAGAAATTAGGCCCCAACCTGAACTGATATAACTTCTCACACATATATATATATATATAATTCCATATGTTGCCATAAATATAATATATGACCGAACAACCATGGCGCGCGAGGATTTCTGCCCTTCAGTCTCGACCAAGAGATTCCAAGGAACCTTGGGCGGCCCCTTTTGGGGCCCTCAACTTATATGGAACCCATCTCATCTCATAGCAATCACGCAATCTTCCAAAGACAATGCAAAAAATCACACAACAACCCCGCAGGTCACCGCCAAACCCCCCCCACCAAAAGTTCTCAAACAAGGACTATTGCAATTCGGAGATCTTCCAAGTCTTCTGGTTCCTTTACCCCCCCAAGGTTTCTGTCACAAATGAACGACATCGAGCGAAGCTCTGTACCGGGATTGTGGGCTCCACCTTCATTTCCCCACACTGTGCATGCCAACCATACGCCCCGTGCGCCCGTAGCAGACCTGGTCTTTGGGCATTTGCAGCAGTGCGTGGCAGGCTTTGTAAGACTCTCTCTTCAGGCGTTCCGGGAAGCTGTAGATCATCTCGGCGATGTCATGTTCGCACTGGCGCACGCACGGGTTGCAAGAAGAATTCCACTGTGTACGTGTACGCTGGCAAACGCGAGCACGACACGCATATATTTTTTATATACAAACACTTGAGCACACGTGTTGCGACGAAAGCAACCAACGCAATAAAAATAAAAAGATATCATCTAAGAGATCCCAAGAGATCCAAGGGGAAGGGTTCGTTCCACTATAGGGCTTGGGCTTCGGGCCATAAAAGGCCCTGTGCCTGCGCCTGGCGGTCTTCGTGGGTTTTGGCCTCTTCAACCTCTTCCTCTTCCTCTGTGGCCAAACGGGCTGCCCGCTCCACCTGGTCACAGTGTTCTTAAACATGTTGTGGCATGAAAACATGAACCGGATAGTTTTGCGGGGCTGGTTTATCTACATTTGATATTTTGGGCTGATCTGCTTCCGAAGTTGTGCTACGGAGCAACCAAACCCCGACCTTGATTTAGCCTTTCAAGCAAACCGACCAGCGGATCCGACCTGCTTCCGCAGCTGCCCGCAGTCCACGGCGAAGACGTTCAGCTGTGCCTTGACTGCTTCTGTGAGCCGAGCACGGTAGGAGGAACGGTTATCCTCCTGGCGTCGGTGCTTCAACCGCACAGCGTTAGGGCGCGCCGGCTCTTCGGATTTGGCCTCCGTTTGGACAGAGGAAAAAGTAAAACAAAACAAACAAAAAACTGGCATTGATGATTGCAGTTCCGCCGGTTATGTAATCCGAAAGAGCCCAAAACTCAAGTTCCCATGTAGTCTCCAAATCCTGTTTGCTCTTGGCCGTTTGGGTGAGGGAAAAAAGAAGAACCTCTCCAACATGCCATGTCCTGCTGCCAGACCTTCCGGATCTGCCCAAAGGTCACTTGGCTCTCTGGGCCCTTCGTGGCAGTGAGGAGGTACTTGGCCAAGATCTTCAGGTTCCCCTGACGGCAGATCCCGCTGAAATCGCAGCGTGAGCGCTGACGACAAATGCTCAGCCTCCGCTCAGCCATCACCCAGACGCTTGCTCGACGGGATTTCGCGCTACGTTATTTCTCTTCTGGGCCGGGCACATTTGGGGCCAAGTTCCGAGTGCAGTGGACAGCCCTAAACCATAACAAACTGGTAGAGTGGAGGCAGTGCAGTACGGGATGCCGACTTCAACAAATCTCGCCAAACTCACAAACCTCACCGGCCATTCATCTTGCGATCAAAATGCATTTAACAGGTACAGGTAGATATCAATGCGGGTGCACATGTTTGTTATATTATAGTGTTATAGATTTATGTGTATATACATATGTGATATATGTATATAGTATTGTATTATATAACATTTCAACATATACATCCAGCAACAGCACGCACTACATACAGAGCGACAACAAGTAGAGGTTTGCGTTTTCTCGTTTGTGTGTTATTAAAGCTTCTTCAGGTTCACTCATCGAACATAGATTCGTGAACTTTTGGGATCGAGGGAAAGTTCGCTCGTTTTGTCAGTTGCTCGTGCCACTGCCGTCGTGGAGCCATTGGATCCTATCTCCTTTTGCTTGAGAACTCCGCCTACCGCGCATGGCAGCGGAGCCTGCGGGCTCCGCCGCCTGATCGATCCAGGGCATTTGCTTTGTCTGCAACCGCACATGGCCGCTGCAGAACCATGGTGGGCCAGGGTGTGTTGCAAGTGGAGAGAACAAAAGAAGGTGTTCCTATTTGGGATGGCAATGCTCCTACCTTCCAAGGGTATTCAGAGCTGGCACAGCACTGGGCGCAGAGCGTGGCACACCACAAGAGATATCTATGTTCAATCACACCTGACAGGCACTGCCCGCCGTTTTGTGGTGTCTATGAAGCCCGCCTTGGTTTCCTATGCAGGAGGAGTTCAGAGACTTTTGGATCGCTTGAGGGGGCACTTGACTGAGATGTCGGAGTACTTGGGGAAGTACTTCAAGCAATCCCGCTGCAAGAGACATGAATCTATGAATGGTTACATCACAAGGAAGGGTGTGATCTATGCTAGAGTTGCTAGAGCGTGCCAAACGCTTCACAGGGCGTCGCACCGCTATGCTCGTGAGGTTGGCCCAAAGACCGGAGGCCTCGCAGTCTACCTGGAGTGGATAGCAGCAGCAACAAGCGGGCCATCCGACTATGCTACGGGCATGCCTATTCCAAAACGTTTTGCCTGCATATTGGGCTCAAACCCAGAAACCCGAGATCTCTGAACTTCAGAGCCGACCTCCGATTCCTCACAGGGTCTTGATCGAGAGGGGGTACATCAAAACCAAGGCAGCCCAATCCGGAGCATCATCCAGCAACATGGCGGGGGTGACCTCTACGCTCCTGAAAGACCTGACGGGTGCAGTGATCGAGCTGAAGGAGCAAGTCCAGAGCCTGAAGACAGGCCAAGAGCTTCCGAGCGACCAGAGAGTCGAGATGATCCTGAAGGGTCAGTGAGAGTAGCGACCATAGGCGCTAGCTTTGAAACGCGCACCGCCCAAATGCCTCCAGAGGCTCAAGGCGGAGACCTTGGCTCACGGTTCAAGACCTTAGAACCTCATGAAACGAAGCAATTGAAAAACAAACGTGATGACATGTTTTCACATGTTGTTCGTGAATTGGGAGCCCATGAGCAAGTCTTATTACTGGAAGTTGCATGCGGTGTGGATAGCATCCTCACAAGTACCGTGAGAGAGCTCACCAAATCTGCCAACTCTGCCCAGCGGTTGTCTAATTGGAACGACTATGATATATCTTCTGGTAGAGGCGTAAAAGGCGCACTTGATAAGACAGACCCTTTGCAATCCCGAAATCGTGTGGCACTCCCCGGAATGTGGTCCGTACAGCGCGATGCAAAACATCAACCAACGTACGGCTGAGCAACGCTCTGACTTGGAAAACAAGCGAAAGCAAGCTTTGAAACTGTGGGACATGTGGTTTTCGATGTGCAGTCACCATGAAAGGTGTCAACCGGTCAAATGACCACTCGCGTTTTGGCTCAAGAGATGGTGCGTGACTGACGCACGGGGCTTTTGTTTTGTCGCTCACAGGTTATGAGCCCAACTCTTTGTTAAGACCACCCTCAGGAGAGGTTGCTGGCTCCCATGGCGTCGAATCCTGCGCTGGCGCGGCGGCGAAGGCAAGCGAAGGCGGAGCCAAAGGGTGCGGCAGGGCTCAATTGGAGGTGGGAGAAGCAGATCGAAGACTTGATGCATTGATTGAGGAAGAGCAGAGAGCGAGGTCCCTGGACCCTGGTCCGCGAAGATCATCGTCCACCCCGCCCTTGGAAGGTCCGAGAGGAGATCCAGTCTCGTTGCGCCCACCGCGTCCTTTGGAAGATGATCGGGATGCGGGGAATCAGGAAGAAAGGGCTTTGAGATCGGTGAAACCTTCGGTGCCTCAACATCCTCCTCAAGGTGCAAGTGATGATGCTGGAGGTCATGGAGGTATGGCTGCTCTGCGTGATGCAATGCAGCGCCCCTATCAGGCCTTGTAGCAGGCTTTGACAGGCCCTCTTCAAGGGCATGGTCAACCATCTCAAGTACCAGTTCAAGGTCAAGGTCTACTTGGTCCTCTATCTCTTGGCGCCGGACCTGGACCGCCTGGAGGTTTTCTGGGTGTGCCTTGGACCAATGAAGGAATGGCTGATGCAAGAAGTTCGATGGTGCCGCGTGCACTGGATTACACCGGTGGGACTACGACTACACCGGACCGGCAACAACAAGCTCCGATGAATCCTTTTTGGAGTCCTGCGGGGCAAGATGGTGTGAAACCACTGGCAAATGGAGCCAGCTCTTTGTCAGTACCTGCGGATGACAAGCGGGTGAAGCAATGAGCGCTGGTTGTCAGGGTGAAGCACAGCGTCTGTCGGGGGCTGCAGGACCTCCGTTGGGAGAAAGGGGAACACTGTCTCCAGCAGTGGATGAAGTTGAGGCGCTGCGGATGCGCATCCTCAAGATAAGGAGCTCAAAAGGTTGTCAACCAGGAGGGAACCGGGGGACACCAACTCGTATAAGACGGTTTCCAGTGGCACACAAGGACCGCTGGATGGGGAACTTCCTCTACATGGTCTTCCTCAACGGCCCCCTGGACTATCTCATCATGTCCGTGGGTATAGGGACGAAGAGAATGGAGGAAATCTGGCCTCTCCCATCAAGATTGGGGAAAGTGTTTCGGTGGCATCGACAACTGAGGCACTGAGGAACCTTGAACTGCCTACGTTGCCTGCGCCCAATGTTGAGGGAGCTTCGATATTGTTTGGAGATTGGTTGACGATGGCCTTTCCTCTTATGTCGGACATCTCCAACTCGGCGAAGGCTTGGTGGGAGGAGTCCTTGGGAGCTGCACAGGAGCACTATACTCACTGGCTCACACTTACACCCCTGGAGAGAATCAGGAAACGACCTGGTGGCGCCGGCATTCCAGAGGATTGAGCAGCGTGGAATCGCTATGTTGCTTGGAGCACTGCCTGACAGCATTCGGAGGGATTTGATCTCAGGCCGGCAGCTGTCAGTGGTCCACATCCTCTATAGGTTGCACATCGCCTACCAGCCAGGAGGTGGAGCAGAGAAGACACAGTTGCTGAAGAGTTTGGTTGAGGCAAAGTTCACAGCGAGCATCACAGACCTTCTCACTCAGGTGAGATTGTGGAGGAGGTGGCTGGGGCGTGCTGAGGAGCTGGGATTGTCGCTGCCGGATCCGATAGTGTTGATGGTGGCGGTTCAGCGGATGATAGATGCAGCTACGAAGATTGGTGGGCCGCAACCGTCGTTCAGGCTGGCCAATGCAAGACAGGAGCTGAAGGTTGACCATGCGGCAACGAGTATGTCCAGGCTGAGATTGAGGACATGTCGCTGACCATGGTCGCGAAGCCTACTGGAGCAGCCCAGGTGTCTGTACCTACCCCACAACCGACCTCTTCGTCCTTGAAGGCGATGGCGGCAACCTATGCGGGAAGGGAGAATGATGACCGAGCTGGAACGAAGCCGGCGTGCAAGTTTTGGAAGAGTGAGGATGGATGCAGAAGAGGAGCTACATGTACCTATGCTCACGACACATCGGAAATGAAGGGCCGATGCTTTGGATGTGGAGGTCATCACTTGAAGAAGGATTGTCCTCATAGTCAGAAGTCGGAGAAGGGAGACGTGAAGAAGGTCTCAAAGGTCAAGGCGGCCAAGGAGCATGAGAAGCCTGAACAGGGGGAGAAGGGTGTGAAGGACACTACGGGAGGTGAAGAGTCTGCCAAGGAACTGGGGTCACCACCTATCACGTCTGCGTCTTCATATCGAGAGTCTCCTCCTCGCCAGTCAGGAACAGAAGCTGCGGCCGAGCTGTTGACTGAGGCAACGTCGCTCTTGAAGACCTTGCGGAGCATGAAGGCGCTGCGTATGAAGGAGCTCAAGCCGAAGCTGGACACTCGAGGTGGGGCAGTGGGATTGTTGGATGGCGGTGCAACGAATGGATTGCGTGAAGCGCTACCTCATGAAATTCCCCGCTTGGAACCTGTCCGAGTGGAACTGGCATCGGGTTCGACTACACTATACAAAGTCAGTGAACATCGGACTTTGCTGTCCAAGGAACCGGTGGAGGTCATAGTCCCTTTGCACGGCTGAACTGGTTGTCGGCAGGAGTCAGTATCACACACCCTGAGTATGGGAAGATTGAGTGCACATTGAGGGGAGGCTGCCCTGTGCTACCTGAAGGAGAAGCTCTCAACCTGCATGATGGATGGTGATATTCGAGCCTGGTGGGCATCGAAGTTCCCAGAGGTCCCGCAGGAGACCTGGGAGTATATGCGTGGGCAGATGGCCTATGACCCATGTCTGTGTCCTTGGAATAGACATCAACGGAGGAGGCATCAGCGGTCAAAGGGGATCATTCTGAACCTGTACAGCGGCAAGGACACAGGCAGTTGGTCTTCCAGGAACTGGCTGGGCTATGAGATCATCAA